TTTTTTTTTTTTTTTTTTTTTTTTTTTTGGGTGTGGTTCATGTTACATATAAAAAGTAGAAAAGATAAAAGAAGCTATATATAAAGGTTGGATACTCTTAGAGCAACTCCAACCTTGTCTCCAAAATGGAGATTTTCCCATTTTTGGGGGAAAAAATTGGGAAATTTTATTCCAACCCTCTCTCATTTTTGTCCCCAAAATGGGGAGTGAATAGTGTCTCCCCAGATTTGGGGACACACTATTTATCTCCCCATTTACTATTCCCTATTAAAATATCATTATTTGTATTATTTAATCTTTTAATTTATCTTTTTATATATACCTAATTATGTTTATATAATATATTTACCTAATTAAATTTTTATCTTAACTTTGACGTATAATTTTGAAAAATAAATTATCGTGTATCTATTTTTTTTTTAATGTAAAATCGGTAATTTTATTATGAGTTATAATTGTATGAAAAAGATATAACCATCACAAAAAATGAAAGGTGCAAATATAAAATATTTGAAATACATTAAAATTGAAAATACATTAAAATTGAAACTACGTTAAATAACATAATAATTTAGTACCGAGACATGTTGTTTTCAAGTACACCAAAATTATTATAGTACTGAGTGAATGAGGCAGATGATTGTTGTGGTTGTGACTGTTGTGGTTGTTGATTTCTTTTATACATTATTTGTTGTTGTTCTTGCCGAAAATATTCACGACGAACTGGATCCAAAACAGAATCTACATCCATGGACATAATTTTACGATCATATTTCAATTCTTTTAGTCTCATTTTTTCTCTTTCAATGTCATTTGTTTCTTTTTGTCTCTCAGTTGCACTATTCATCGCCTCAACAATTCGATTATTTTGTGATTCGACTATCTTCATATAACCATCATCGATTTTCCTCTTCATTTTTGCTTTCTTCACCCCACTTGGTCGTTGTGATGGCGTGGAATCATCTGCAACATCCTCATTTAAATTTACTAAAAATGATAAGCTAGGAGATGATACACAGGGTGAATCAGGGGCACGAGCCTCAGAGTCCGATGATATATTAGCATCATTTTGCTTTCTTATTTTTTTTCTTTCAACATTGCCATCGTTAAACTTCTCAAAATCCTTCATTAGAGCCCACACATGATCAAATTTAAATCCTTTTTTGAAGTTTGGATCTTGCATAAATAAAACTTTTGCTTGTGTAAGCTGCAATGTTTAAAAAAAGATAAGGAAAACAATAAGTAAATATATACAAATAAAATATAAGTAACTACAAAATAAATACTCACAATGTCTTGCTCTGAAGCACCACTAGGACGCAGCATTTCTACTTGACGTACACATCCATTTAATTTTTTTACTGCCTTCTCAATATTTGCAAATCGATGTTGTAGTGATTTTTTGTTGCGAATCTCCCAATTAAATACCTTTGCATTATTGTATGTATCTACAACTCGAGACCAAAATTGATCACTAGATTGATAGACTCCCGTTATTGGATCTTGAGAAATATCTAAATACATTTGGCATAATAGAAAATCTTCATCTACAGAGTATCCTACAGATCGAATGGACATTTATTTTTCAAGTGATTAGAGGAAAAGTGAATTATATGGTTAAAGAAAAATAAAAGGCACTCATGGATATGGAAGGATATGCTAACCCCGTAAATATATAGAGAGAGATAAATGTAGACACTACAAATTAATAGACCCCAATAGGATAAGATTTATTTTGATCTAAGTCGTCGAGTGAATTTCGTCCTAATCTCAACCGTCCGTTGGATCTTTATCTTATCTTTACTAAATAAATATCTCTACACGTTATTTGTGACTCGCATGGTGAGGACACGTTCAGCCGGATCAGGCAGGCACCAGTACTACTAGTCAGGGCTTCAAGAGGCCGATGCTGAGGTATAGGCCAAGGTAGGGTATGCACTAAAGCTAAAGCAGCACCTACGAAGCCACCATTCACTCCAGTGGAGGATCAAGTTTCGGATACTGTTGAGCCAGTAGGACCAGCTGAGACACTGTAATACCTATTGTTATACCTGGTTTTCAGGAGGCCTTGGCTCGATCGTGAGTGTGTGCATGCGCTTCTCTTAGGCAGGTATGCTAACTGCTGCACCAGCTACCTCACAGACTGGGGGAGGAGCCCGAACTCCCACCTACCATACACTGGAGCACCTAGTCCAGGGTTATCAGATACCAGGGGTGTTACCGGTTTAGCCAGCTATTGCTGCTCGGGCCGAGGTTGGTCCACCTATGACTGATGAAGAGCGGAAGATGTTGGAGCCATTTAAGATGCTTGATACTCTAGAATTCAGTGGAGGAGAGTCAGAGGATGTTTAGATTTTTCTGGATCAGTGCCATCAGATTCTTCGCAAGACGAGTATTCTGGACATCAGTTGGTGATGGTGGTAGACCTATGAGTCAGGCAGGCCAGCTAGCACATCACTACTTACATGGCATCAGTTCTTAGTTTTCTTCTTAGAGAAGTTTGTCCCACAGACATGCAGAGGAGTTGCGTAGTGAGTTTGAGAAGCTATGCAAGGGCGATATGTCATCAATGAAGACAATGACAAACGAATCAATATATGGCCTGAATACCATGTTCATCAGATCCATAAAACACTGCCGAGGCGTTAGTTAAACCAAAGGACATTACCAGAAACTCATAATGACCATATCTAGTCCAGAAAGCAGTCTTCGGAACATCCGAATCCTGAATCTTCAACTGATAGTACCCCGACTTCAAGTCGATCTTAGAGAACACCCTAGCACCCTACAACTGGTCAAATGGATCATCAATACGCGACAACCGGTAATTGTTCTTAATAGTGACTTTATTCAATTGGCGATAATCAATACAAGTCCGCATTGTTCCATCCCTCTTCTTCATAAATAATTCCAGTGCACCCCAAGGCTATACACAGGGCCATGATCGAAGCCACGATCGAGGCCCAGTTCCGAAGGCAGCTTGGGAAGATCTATAAAGGAGGGAATTTCGTCTCATTTGCCATTTTTGACGAACTTGAGCTTGAGCAGAGGCGACTTTTGTCAGATTTTCAAGGAAAGACATTGGGGTAAGTGATTCTAACTCGGATTTGGTCTTTATACACAAATATATTATTGTTTTCACCATTTAATTAGTGTTTTGAGATTGAAATTTTGGAAATTTTTAGAAATCTCATAGAAACAAATTTTTGAGATTTCGGTATCGATTCGGAGTCGGATTTTAGCAAAACTGGTATGGTTGGACTCGTAATTGAATGAGTTATCGGATTTCATAACTTTTATCGGATTTCGAGACGTGAGCCCCACAGATGAAATTTTAATTAATTTCGAAATTTTTATTGAAAATATAGTATTTTATTATAGAATTGATTCCTATAAATTTTAGTGATTGTATCAAATTATTTTTTGTTAGATTCGAGCCAATCAAAGTTAGATAATCAAGGAAAAAGCCTACTAGTGGACTAAACTGGAGCAAGACAAGGTAAGTCTCTTGTCTAAATCTTGTAAGGGAGAAATTACCTCATAGGTAATTAAAGTAATAATTGTTGCTAATTGCGGGAGTTACGTATGCACAAGGTGACGAGAGTCCGTTCGTAGCTACTATTAATGCTAAAGTTCGGGTAGTTTAGGACTCAAAGCATGAATTACTTGTGTAAATTGTATTCTTTGTTTAATTAATATTATTTGATATATATATATATATATATATTGTGAATTGTTAGATAAAAATATTAAAGGATGGAAATCTCATATGCTTAATGTTCTGTGTAAAATAATTAATTGTTAAGAGAAATTGTTCATCCTCTCGAATTGATCTTATAATAAATATACTCTCCTTCCGGAGGTACATAAGAAAATGTCCTCCTTTCTTGTGGAGCGGGCCGAACGCCTCGGCAGGATAGATGCATCTATGGATCATGCGGCATGTCCCTCGGCAGTGTACACGACACTCTGGATTGGGCCGTACGACCTCGGCAGAAATCGTGCCTAATAATAATTATTACACGACACTTTGATAGTTTATTGCAGCTTGTGAAGCTACTTGATAAATTGAAAATCCTTAGAATTTAAAGAATTATTATCCCTGCTTGCTAAGGAATGATTGTTATTCCTACACTGCAACACATAATTGTTCATCTGAAATGCTTGCATGCACAATTGCATGTGAGCTTCAAAGCCATGTGACTGTAATTCTTCTGAAGACGATGACGATGATGAAGAGGAATTTGAATCATTATTATTAGATGAACCTCCCATATAGAAATTTATTTTTAGATGATAAATAATAATTTTTAGTTACTTTTAAAATAATTTGGAAATCTGAGGTTATACTTCCAAAATAATGTTCCTTTTTATAGAGCTTTTTATTTAGTAAAGATGTCTAGAGATATTTATTTAGTAAAGATAATATAGAGATAAGAATGAAATCCAACGGACGGTTGAGATTAATACGAAATCTACTCGACGGCTTAGATCAAAATAAATCTTATCCTATTGGGGTCTATTAAATTATTGTGTATGGTGAGTTGTCTATTGAATAACGTGTAGAGATGTTTATTTAGTAAAGATAAGATAGAGATAAGGATGAAATCCAATGGACGGTTGAGATTAGGACGAAATCTACTTGACGGCTTAGATTAAAATAAATCTTATCCTATTGGGGTCTATTGCCCGGCACCAATAATGACATTAATGTTTTAGAGTCATCATATTTGTTTTCCGATCTTGCTGCAGGTACTGCTCCTCCCGCCCATTATGTTATTCAAGGACAAGAATATAATATGGGTTATTATTTAGCTGATGGTATATATCCAAAATGGTCAACCCTTGTACAAACTATTCGTGAGCCACGTTCGAAGAAGAAATATTTTGCGATGAAACAAGAATCATGTCGAAAAGATGTTGAACGTACATTCAGAGTTTTGCAACAACGTTTTGCAATTGTTGCAGGACCATCACGTTTTTGGAAAAAAGAAGTGCTACATGATATAATGACTATATGTATTATATTGTACAACATGATAATCGAGAATGAGCGTGATCTTAATGCACCAATTCAAGATGATTTGGAAGGTCCACCTCCAACAGTAGAAATGGCAGTAGATGAAAATCAATGATTTCAAGAATTTTTATCTCGACATAGAAGAATTAAGGACAAAGATGCTCATTTTGCACTTCGTAATGCATTAATATATCATTTATGGGAGAATACTAGAGGTTGAAATCGAATATTTATGTAGTATTTCGAATGAAATTTATCGTTATGTAATATGTATTTAATTAATCTTGTATCGCAATAACTTCACTTTTATTTGAATTATTAGTTAATCTATAATAATTGCTTGCAAAGTATATTATTTAAAATTTTATGGAATTATTTTAATGGAAATTACAAATTAATGAAAATAAAAGATGGAATTTGTTTAATGAAAATTAAAAATTAAAATTGAAATGAAAGATAATAATATAATATAGAAGAGAGAGAAGAATATAAAAGAGAATATTCTCTTTTGGGGGGAAAATGGGGGAATGGTTGGAGTAAGTTGTCCCCAAAATGGGGGTAAAGGTTGGAGATGCCCTTAATAGTGTGAGATCTTCCGAGAAAAATCGGGCGGCTTGATTCAAAGCGGACACTATGACATCGTGTTAAAAGTATATTTTAGAGTCCATTACTCAGATGATCACTCAACTATCCGAAAATCATCTACCAAAGTAATCTTTCTTTCGTTCGTAACAACAAAGTCACTTAACTATGTCAATAGCACTCAGAAGGTCACTCAACTAGATTTCTCAATTTTTGATAGTCAAATACCTGTTTTACCCTCTAAATTATCAACTTTTATCTTCTTTTTATTTTTGTTAGCTTTTTAATACAATAATTTTTTTCTCATTTTAATATATATTATGGACTTACCTTAAAATAAATAAATTTTATTTATAAATTAAAAAAATAAAATAGTATTTAAGCATATATAATGTTAGAATAGTAAAATATTGCGCATAGTAGAAAGTTAATTAGAACAATTAGTTCGTAATAATAATTTTGATATTAACAAAAAAAAACTCAAAAATTTATTTACACAATTGAGAATGAAAGAAAATAAAAGTTTTAAAATATATATTCCACGTACTATAGAAAATAATTATTAAAAATAAAGGTATTTTTGTAATATACATTACATATTCTTGAATATTATGTTCAATTATATTATTATTTTGACACTATATATGCTAGAAAAATATTTTTTTTTATTTTTAATTTTTATATAAAATATTTTTGTTATGTAGGCAAGTCCATAATGTTGATTAAAAAGAGAAAAAAATCATAATATTAAAAAATCAAAAAAATAACATAAGATAAAAGTTGATAATTTAGAAGGTAAAATAGGTATTTGGCGATCAAAAGTTTGATAAATCTAGTTGACTGACATTCTGAGTGTTATAGACGTAGTTAAGTGACTTTGCTGTTACAAACGAAAGAAAGATGACTTTGGTACATAATTTCGGAAAGTTGGATGACCATGTGAGTAACGAACTCGTATTTTTTAATCAAGTTTAGCCTAACATTTTTCCCCCTGCCGACTTGTCATATGGTGCATTAGAAATTAGGCAGACTCATGTCTATAAATTAAGGAGGGGAGTGTTGGAGTAACAATAAAGTTGTCTCTGTATCACCTATAAGTTAGAGGTTCGAGCCATGGAAGGACACTAATGCTTGATAGACGACTATCTACATCATACCATTTGAAGTGTGGCCTTTTCCCGAGCCATGAGTGAATGTGGGATGCTTTGTACGGACTGCCCCTTTTCCTATCCGTAAATTAAGATCTAATATGAAAGTATCTATAGGAGGGAGAGGAGTAAGTCCGCTAACCCGATGGATAATGTGCTCATGGTCTGTATGATTGCAACTACTTGTAAGAAACAAAAAACAAAAACAAAATGAATGCTTGTGTTTCCATAAAGTTTACTTTGAGCAAAATCGTTTTATCCTTTGGACAGGGATTGGGGATGCTATGGTATGAGACTCACCGGCTAAGTATTAAAGCATTGTTTGGGGCACTGGCATTGTTAACTCTTGGTAAAGCTGGGCGAGATGTCACTTTGAAAGCATTTCTAGCTGATCAACTATGGAGATCTAACGAAGAAACAAACGAAGAGAATGAAAATCTTATAGAGACACGCCAAGAAATTATTTGGAGTGTTTGTTGGATTTTAGGTATAATTATAGCAACTGTATGGCTCTCAAATACAGAGTGGGAGGTGCTTGCAAAGATATCTACAATCGCAATGGTAGCAGGATTTTCTCTGTTCTTGTTAGGCATCCCATTCTATGAACGCAAGAAACCATCTCCTAGTCCTATCCTTGATGTTTTCAAGGTCGTTAAAGCGGCACTATCAAAGATTCATCTTGATTACCCAGTTTCTCCTAGTCAGTTGTTCATGAATAACACAAGTGATACAAAGATTCTTCCTAATATTGCACTCCTCAGGTACTACTTACTCACCCCATACTACTTTGATACCCGTACTCCCTCGAGTTGCAGGGTAAGGCTGCGTACAATAGACTCTTGTGGTCCGGTCCTTCCCTTGACCCCGCGCATAGCAGGTGCTTCGTGCACCGGGCTGCCCTTTATATAACATACTCTTTCAAGTTGAAACAATTATTACGAGCATATACCTCCGGTGTCACAAAGTCTTATAGCCACACAAATGTTATGACATATTTAGACCATAAGTTTGACAAGTCAGTATCTCAATAAACTGTACTTAAGTTAACCATATTGCAGATGGTTAGACAAAGCTGCCATTTTGGAACCATCACCTCCTTGTCCAGTAGCAATAGAGCAAGCTGAAACTGCTGACATTTTTGAGGTAGCAAAGGTGAAGTATGTGAAACGTGTGCTGAGTATGTTTCCTCTTTGGTCAACTTTTCTTGTATGCAGTCTCGTAGGGGCTACAGCAAACACTTTCTTTTACGAACAAGCTAATGTCATGGATGACCATCTTGGAAAAATATCACATGTTCCAATTGTAATTTTTGTTATTATCAAAACCTTCACAAGTTCCATTATATCAATCATATGTCAATCGCTCAAAAACGCCGTAAGAACTACACGAAGTCCTCCTTTGTTCAGAACTATACTTGGAATGTTTTGCTCTTTTCTTTGTTGCCTAGCTGCTTGGTGGGTAGAAAAATACAGACATGATGATATGGAGATATGGGTTGACGAGGATAATGTGGAGTTTTACGTTAATGAAATGAGTGTTTTTTGGCTAATACCTCAGTTCGTCTTGGTTGGCCTTATGGATGGACTTTCATCGAGTGGGCTTAAAGATATCTTTGAAACTAAAGTTTCTGACTCAATGAAAGGGTATGAGCCAGAGTTTACCGAATTCATTACTGGTATTGGCAAATTCTTCAGTGTGATCTTCATTCTTATATTCGGATCCTGGTTCAAGGAGGACGTAAACACAAGTCGTCTGGACAAGTACTATGCTATGTTAATGGCTCCTACATTCCTTAACTTTCTTTTCTGCTGGTTCGTGTGCAGCTGGTATGCACATCAACCATATTTTCACATCACTATTGACAGTGCTCAACAGTCAGAAGCTGGAACCATAGAAGTCTTGACAAATGAGAATTCTGGCTTTGACACCGCTCAAAAATTCGAAGATGGTGTTGTAGAAGTCTTGACAAATGAGAATTCTAGCTTTGACAATGCTCAAGAATTAGAAGATGGTATCATAGAAATCTTGATAACTGAGAATTCTAGCTTGACTCCATCTACCAATAATTGATATGTTACATAACACGAGCTAAAGTCAAAGAGCTAGCCCATGAGTCACTTGGAACTTCTATTTCGATCTTTGAAACAAACATTTGTGCTAAATGTTCGCCAATTTTGTGTAATGATTTGTAGTTTAGTTTCTTATATTTTCATTAGGATCTATTTATGTAATACCTCATCTGACGAGCATATTTGAACTATGATTTTACATATGTTATGAATTTGTTAGTGTGAAATTTGAAAGAAACTACAGAACAAACTCTCATAAACAAATGAGATACAACAGCTCCAGTATTCAAAAGAATTGAGCATTTTTAAACTCTTTACTACATTCGACTGTACTCTTGAGTTCTTCATCATGAGCATTTTTATTAGGCTCCTTAGTTGATGCTTCTACTTGTGTTTGTTTCAATTCCTCTAACTGCAACAACAATAGAAGATAACACTAAGTTTGTTCCATGATGAAGAAAGCCCTGAATTTTTGTGTGGTATTACCACTCATTATCAGACTTCAACTTGATAATGGTATTACTGTCTTCATAACCAAAACAATAAATAGACACAGGGAGGGTAACTAATTGGTACGAAAGGTAAATTCAATTGGCCACACAAGGATTACCAGAAGGGGGGGAAAAAGAGTGAGGGAAGAATAACGGAAAAGATAAAACTACCACAACAAAAACAATTATCTGCTCTTCTGGACAGCTTAAGAAATTACAGTGAACCAAAGTCATACCTCCCTGCATCTTTCTTGGTGCTCTTTTAGCAGTTCGTCATATCTGATTTGCAAATCTGATAACTCAGCTTGTAGCTTTTCATATTCGGACACCGTTGGACCACCTAATTTTTGCTGAACAAATCTGAGAGATCAAAAACTAAACGATTATTTCATATAAGTTCTCTGAAAAGAAAGATCATAAAAGAATAATCAGCACAACCATGAGATGACAAAAACACATTTAAGCAAAAGCTTTGTGCCTTTTCATATGCATGTGAATTTTTGAGAAAAAACATAACGTGATAAGTTTTCCAGCCAACCCCACTATTGCGTCACAAGCAATGTTGTTAATCATCTATAGCATTTTGCTTTGAAAGACAAGTTTCACATAGACACAGTACAAATCAAAACAACGTGCAGCTTGTATCATGGGATCTTTTAGGGAATGAGTTTGGTAGTTTCCTAACAAATACTTACTCAAGAGCTGAAGAAGGTTTGTCATTCTGTTCGTACAGTGCGACAAGGACTAGAATGACAGGAAAACACACAAAATCAGAAGGAACTGTTTCAGAGAAAAATTAACAAAGAAAGAATGATGACTATCGACACTAATTTAGGAAGTAAGTCACAACCTTTGGTTAGAGCATCAAGAACTCCACTGGCCTCCAGATACTTTCTGAAAGCCTCTTTCTTTGCTTCCTTTTCCTGTTCAAAGATCCAAATAGGTGAATTCAACACGGGAAAATGAGGCATCTGTAAGAAATAATGGCACAAAGCAGAGAAGGTAGCAAATAGCAAGGAAATTCAAGGATAGATAGGCAACGTGTTTATTTTTTTTTTTGTACTTTAAGCTCTTTGAATCACCATTATTCTAAGTTGGCCTTATCCTCTTTGTAGTTTTCTGCCATATCTGTGCATTTTGGGAGGTGAGGGAGAGTGTCAAATTTACTAAAAATTGATGGAACAAGTGGCTTAAAATTATTATGCTAGGATGTTAACTAAACTATTTGCATAATGCTGAACTTGAGTTTATTTAATACGAAAATCCTCTACAAATTGTATAGGCTATTAATTTGCTAAAGTACATTAACTATATAATTTAGGTCAAGCCTAACACCTAGGGCCTATTTTGAGGTTTGGTTGCAAATTGCAATCCTGTTATCTCATTCCGTAAACAGAAAGATCCAGATATTAGGTAATATTGTTAAAGGTCAGGAGACAAATTTCTGCAAATAATAATAATGCCACCTCTCATTTACACAGAGGATGATAGCTTGCCAAAAGTACCAAAGAATGGCTACATAAGTAAAAGGCATTACCTTGAAGACTTGTGAGGATTACATTTGCAAACAAACAACATAAAACAGAGAAAGAGAAAAACTATGATGGAATTAGCCAATTGAACTTTCTATCTCATTTAAGTGGAGAAGAATAGAGGGGCATGCTCGTTATCTACTGAGATTTGAACATAGAAACAGCAGATTTCTCGGTTATAAAAAATAAAATAAAAGAAACTCTCTACCTCATTTAATAAGCTAATATGTACACAAGGAACTTTTGCATATTTTTAACACAAATCAGCTTGTATCATCAAGCTCCAAAGCTAGTTGTACCAGTTTGACTCAGATAATGGCATCACATGAGGCCTTGAGAATTTTATAGACAAATTATAACAGTATAAAAAAACAGAGCTACGCGGTTTCTGTGTTGGTGGGAGGTAGCAAGGTACTTCGTGGAATTAGTCGAGGTGCGTGAGCTGGCTCGGATACTACGGTTATCAAAAACAAATTATATACTCCTATGTAATAACAGTATAAAAAACATGCTTCTGTAATGAGCAAAGTGTCCTGTCAAACTCATACATTGGTCAATATTACTCCCTTTGACCTCCTTAGCTGACTAAACTGAATAAAATTCTAATAATTTCTCCTTCAAAGTAACTTTTCCCGATATCTTGACTTTGCAGTATTGAGTAGCAAATTCATTTGTTCCACCATCTTGAGTTTGAGATGATGCATTGAAAGTAAAGGGTAAAGTCAATAGAATCATTAATAATATTTTGTAGCATTCCTAATGATTAAGTTGTAATAAATAGGGAACCCAGGAATTAGTTTCTTTCTTTTATAATGGTAGTGTCTATAACCACTTTGCACACACCTCATCTAAAACATCGGGTGTTTGCAACCTCGCACCAGCACAGAGAACAAATTAGTCAGCTCACCAAGATTTTGACAGCTAGAAATAATTCACCTAGTGGCGCCTCCATTGAAATTTCAAATCTTGATTCCTTCTGTAATGAATTCCAACAAGCACAGGACTTGAGGCATTCCACCAAGTCTCCCTCAAAAGTGCAAACTTGGTGGAATTCATTTGCTAACCACCAAATTAAAGCTCCTCAAAACTAAGCTAAAAGAGTGGAATAAGGAGGAGTATGACAGTCTAGAGAAAAGGAAGAAGACAATTCTCAGTAACATCTCAATCTTTGAACAGATTCAAGAAAGCAGAAGGCTCACAAAAGGAGAATTATTGGAAAAGGCTGGCCTCATGTTAGAAATTCAGGAGTTAGCCAAGCATGAGGAGACAACATGGAGGCAAAGGTCCAGAACCTTATGGCTGAAACAAGGGACAAGAATACGAAGTTCTTCCACAAAATGGCTAATGCACATAAGAGATATAATCACATTGATAAGCTGGAGGTGCAAGGTCAAACTACCACAAACTCTGAAGAAATCAAGAAGGAAATCATAGACTTCTATCAGAAGTTGTATGCTGAACCTGAAATATGAAGGCCAAACTACAATCTTGCTAGGGGGAACTTTTTAACAGTGGAGGAAAGTGTATGGTTACAAAGAGAGTTTGAAGAATAGGAAGTGGTGGAATGCCTCAAGTCCCGTGCTTCAGACAAAGCACTAGGACCTGATGGCTTTACCATGGGTTTTTTCCAGAAATGCTGGCCAACAGTCAAGGAAGATGTCATGTTGACCCTGAAGAATTTTCACTCTAATGATTACTTTGAGAAGAGTTTAAATGCATCCTATGTGGCTCTTATCCCAAAGAAGAATGAGGCCAGTTAACTTAAAGAATTTAGGCCAATTAGCTTGATTGGAATTGTTTACAAAATTATAGCCAAAGTCCTAACTAAGAGGCTAAAGACTGTAATTAACAAGCTCATTGAAGGTCATCAAATGGCCTTCATAAAAGGAAGACAAATCATGGATGCTTTTCTTATTGCTAATGAGGTGGTTGACTCTAGACTCAAAATTAAAACTCCAGGTGTTCTATGCAAGCTGGATATAGAGAAGGCCTACGACCATGTCAACTGGAAGTTCATTCTAAAATTAATGTTTGATATGGGCTTTGGAACTAAATGGATCAACTGGATCCGTTTCTATCTTAGCACTGTAAAATTCTCTATCTTGATTAATGGCTCATCCCAAGGTTTTTTCTCTTCAGAAAGGAGGTTAAGGCAAGGAGATCCTTTATCCCCTTTTTGTTTCTGATGGCAATGGAAGGGCTGAATCAGATAATCAACACTGCAAAGTCAAATGGCTGGATCAAGGGGTTCAAGGTGTATAACAGAGAAAATTGCAGCTTAGAGATTTCACATCTCTTGTATGCAGATGACTCTATCATTTTCATGGGAACTCAACCAGAAGAGATGCTTCATCTCAGACTGATATTAACAACCTTTGAAGCTGTCGCAGGCTTACATGTTAACTAGGGAAAGAGTAAGCTATATCAGGTCAATGATGTTCCAAACATACAGAATTTAGCTAATATCCTGGAATGTGGAATAGAGAACCTACCTACTAAATATCTAGATCTTCCTTTAGGCTCCAAAAACAAGTCGCAAGAAATCTGGCAAGGGGTGATTGAAAGGAGTGAAAAACGACTTTCAAGATGGAAGAGTCAATACTTGTCACTTGGAGGCATGGTGACTCAGGTGAATAGTGTCTTAGATGCACTGCTCTCCTATGTGATGTCCTTATTCCCAATACCAACTAAGGTGAGGAAAAAGATTGATTCCCTAAGAAGAACAAGGAAATAGTGAGAAAAAGACTATTCACTTAGTCAAATGAGATACTCTTTTGTGTTCTAAGCAGGCAGGTGGTTTAGGTATCAGAAACCTGAAGGCGCATAACAACAATCTCCTTGCAAAATGGTTATGGAGGTATAATTTGGAGAAAACAGCTTTATGGAAAAGGGTGATACAAGACAAGTATGGCCATGGAGGACCTTGGTGCACCAAACCAGTATCATCCCCACATGGAGTTGGTGTATGGAAAATAATTAGGGGACAATGGAGGTTCATTGCTGATCATTCTAGTATCAAGGTCGCAAATGGAAGAAGAGCTCTCTTCTGGTGTGACACATGGTTTGGGCACACTCTGAAAGCTCAGTTCCCAGACTTATATAACATTGCTGCGAATCCAAGAATTTCAGTAGCAGAAGCAAAATCCACACATGGGTGGAATATTGTTTTCAGAAGGCACTTAAATGACTGGGAGTTGCAAAGTGTGACAGATTTCTGGGAGACCTTAGAAGCCTTCCAAGGTCTCATAGAAAAGGAAGATACCTTAATGTGGAAGGGTCACAAATCAGGATCCTTTTAGTGAAATCTGCTTATCATTTCATCAACAATACTCCTAATCCTACTCATGGATGGCCATGGAAACAAATCTGGAGGGTCAGAGCGCCCACAAAAGTCTTATGCTTCACATGGTTAGTAGCAAGGGAAGCTGTTCTAACTTAGGATAATCTTATTAGGAGAGGAATTCAACTACATGCTAGGTGTAGTCTATGTGGCAAAGATGGGGAGTCAGTTTCCCATTTCTTTATACACTGTCCAGTCACTACTCAACTTTGGCATTTCTATCTTAATTTGGCTGGAATCTCCTGGACAATGCCCAATAACACTGCATCTCTTCTCAATAGCTGGAACAATGGAGGGGCAAATATTAAACAGAAGAAATGGTGAAAAGTAGTTCTTGCTTGCATCTGGTGGGTCATATGGAAGGAAAGGAATGCCAGAGTTTTTGAAGACAGACCTAGCTCTTACCAGAAAATTAAACTAAATTGTTTTTTGTTATTTCATTTTTGGTACAAAGAGAGTTACAGGGAGGATGTGCTTTCTTTACTAGATTTGCTAGAAGAAATGTAATCGAACAGAATAGGCTACGTAGCCTCAGATCTTTTGGGGTCTGATTGTGGCTCACACTATCTCTTGTAAATATTTTACTCATTTATAAAATTTGTTACCATTATAAAAAAATAAAAAAAAAAACTCCTACATAAGGAATCCTCTTGTATGTTGTTAATCAACAATTCAAATAAGAATTTTCTCTCTTCTTCTCCTTCCACAGGGATTAATAACTGGAAGATGCAAACTCAAAAATTCTAGATTTAATTGGCAAAAATCAAAGATTTTTCAATGCATTTACTGAACTATTGATCTTCAGGCCATTTGATCGCTGCCAAATCTCTGGAGAATTCATATGCTAGCTTAATGAGATGTATCAGTATATTAACAATTGCAAATTCAGCCTAATTTGGTTAACAATAACAGAAGATGGGAACGCAATGCAGTTGTAAATTGGAAGCAAAGCTGAATATGCTGAGTAAGTTCCTTTCCAGTATTCTTGATTCCGAATTAGTGTTAATCATGAAGAGCAATTTTTCTGTACCAAGCATCAGATGATCAGAGGATTCCAACTAAAATGCAATGTACATCATCTTTCTTGAAAAGAAAATATATATGTATTGATTAACAAAAATGTTGCTGTATCAGACTATCAATGCAATCTTAGACCTCAAGTTGTGTATGCAGAAGTGCAACTAAACATGCAGCTGACTTCAATGAATAACCCGAATCCCAGAATAGCAGCTGTCTAGCATCAAAACACTAACCAAACGTAAGAAAAACACCAAGAGTGTGTAAATATGTTATGATGGATCTTACACGCAAATTACGATTGGAACTCTGTGATTGTGCTATTCACAATCTGACATACATACATAGGCGAATCTACCTTTTCAGCAACGAATGCAGCTCAAGCTATATGTAGAGTTAAATTCATTAATACTATTTATGCTCCCATTGTTCCATAGGAGTACTGGGTGCACTTCTGCACTTACTCCGCCTCTGAACTACAGATAAACGACACTAATGTAATTTCATCATTGGATCATTCTCTATCGCTTTGTAAGAATGCCCTTGAATATGTCTCAATTGACGCAACATTTCCATTTGTTGCCTAAAACCTATGTAGCCACGACTCTTCAAAAATGTTGATGGGTGTACGTCGGATCCCCCAAAAATAGTACACTGTTGGAGGAGCCGACACGAGTGTGGCAACATATTTGGAGAGTCCGAACAACATAGCCTAAAATCCATGACTCATTTAAAAATAAAAAAATTCTTTTTTGGTCTTGAATACATATATGCACATTGACCATGAACAATAACACAAATTTAAGCAAGTGGGTGCAGAGTCTCATTGCGCACACTATTATGGTGGATATTAATTTGGTACAAAAACATATATTCATCAATCGGGTTTAAGTTCTACCCACTGACGGTGTAAAACATATTTACATAATCAGCTCACTTAAAAGGTAATTGCAAGTAACTCTAATCAAAATAAGCATTGACCGGTAACCAATAATAAATGATAACTAACCTACTATAATGATGGTGTAAAAATTACTACATTGTCAGTGTATATATGACTAAAATACTTATCAAAACTGAATCTTTTTTACACAATCAGGTCACTTAAAAAGGTAATTGCAAGTAACTCTGATTAATAAGCATTTGATCAGTAACCTAGAATAATTGGTAAGTAAGCTACTAGGGTAGAATTTCACTATACAGTCCGTGTATATAACTTAAATCCTTATAAAAAATGAATCTGTATTACTTCCCAATCAGGGAAAGAACTCCGGTATAGCTAGCTGACAATTACTGAAAAAGAAGCAATTTTTATGAACTAAGAAGCAGAGATCGGAGGCAATTCTAAGTTTTTAATAACAAATGCCATTTCTGAAAAGATTGAAGCTCACCATTTCCTTTCTTTTCTTCACTGGGATTTCAATTTCCAAGCTACTCCAATTGTGAAACTCGTTTTCCCCTTTTTTCGGGTAGAGAGTTTAGATCAGGGATGTTATTTGAACCTTTTTCTTTACGGTTGGGGAGAGTTATCTGAACCGGGGTGGCATGTTAAGTTTAACCGAGCCGGTTTAAAACTCTGTACGTAAATGTTGTATGAATTATGATGAATTTAGAAATATTAGACTTCTTTTCAAATTCCAATATAACCAATAGTATATGTTAAAAATTTAAATTATTGTTTTTTAATTGTGGTAATTGTGATTTAAGCAAATTTTTAGCTTATGAGATAGTCCTCAAACTTGAAGTGACATTTTAAATTTTTCTCTTTGACATTGTGACTACATGATATTTTCTTATAGTTTATATGGTAAGAGAGAAAAAATTATGAAATTCAATGACAAAAAGTAGCAAAAAACTGAAAATATTTCATCACAAACTTTGGAAAGTTCAAAAAATAACTTTTACCATTTAACATTCTCTCATTTTTATTTTGAAGCTCAAGAGTCAAGATAATTTTTCCTTCAAGTGAAAAATCAATTGGTTAAGCATAAATTTTTTATTAACAACAGAAGGAAAAAATATTTTTTACTTAAGCGGAAGGTCTATGCACAATCTCCTTGACAGAAGAAATTATTTTTAGTTTTTATTACTTCGGTTCCATTCTATATTGTCCTCATTAGGGTTGACATAATTTCCATTCTATATTGTCCGCAAATATTTTTTTTTTTGTTTGGCCAAGTTTTTGGAAAGAGTGAAAGTGCTTTTGAAGAAGCAGAAATAGTTTTTGAGAAGTAGAAAAAAATAGCTTCTATTCGAAAGCAATTTTGTGAGAAGAACTTTTAAGAAAAATATATTTAGAAGCAATTTTCAAAAATTTAGCCAAACACTAATTAATGCTCAAAAAGTGCTTTTCAAATTAATTAGACAAAAATAAACTTACCAAACTAGCCTCACAATAAGCGGAATTTAGAAGGTTGGCCAAACAGCCCAGAAACCAATTGCATTTGATTTTTAACACTTCGTTGCTGAATAAATAAAGGAAAGAGAGGGAAATTGTACTTTCTCCGCTACTTCTGAATCTGATAGCTTAACGAACACCAATTGTTCGACAAAACGTCTGTAAAGGTTTTAACTTGATAAGCAAAACCAAGATTCTGAAATCCCCACCAGCAAATTTATTCGAAGAAACAGAAATATGGAGGAGACCAATAAAGAGGAAAATGCTGTTTTTCTCGATCGTTCTTCTCGAGCTACCAGAGGCAAACGGTAAATCAAGAATCCCAATTTCAATTATTTTTTTCTCTTTTTTTGGAGTGTTTGTTGTGTTTATTTTTCTACAATTTGAGTGTAATTAAGTTTATTTGCCTGTTCAAAATGGGATTTATGTTACAGGATGACCAAATTGTTGGATGACGAATTGGAAGAGGATGAACTTTTCTGGAATCAGGAAGCTCTTAAGGATGTAGGTATCTGTTGTTTCACTAACATGTTAGTACATTTTTTCTGTGTCTCTTTCAAATTATAGCCAGTAGGTAGCAGCTTATGCTTAATGTTTGTGTGTACAAGATATTTATTTAATTTTATGAAAAGATCATTTTTTAGCACCCTAGTGTGTGGCCTAGTGGTCAACGAAGTGGGATAAGAACTGTGATGTCCTAGGTTCAAATCCCAAAAAGGCAAAAAAAATACTACTAGGTGATTTCATTTCCGTCTAAGTCTTGGTCGGTAGAGTTACCCGGTACCTGTCCTGGTGGGACTTGGGAGATAGCAGGTTCCTGGTAGAAGAGTCGAGTTGCGTACAAGCTGACCCTGACACCGATGTCATAAAAAACACATTCTTAATTATCTTGGAGGTTTTTCCATTTGGGGTTCCCTTGTTGTTTCCATAGAACATGCCTATCCAACTCGTTGTAAGGCTCAAAATGATCACCTTTATGAATCAATGAAATGGATTATCGGGTGGAAAATTTGAGAACTAAGAAACCAAAAGCGTTAGTATCCTATGCGTGTTTATTGGTAATTGTAGAGGCAGAGTGAAGTGCAACTGCTACCGGCTTTTAGAGATTTAGGTGTCTTTGCTTTCTCTGGCAAGTCAAAAAATAGCATTGGAGCAGGAAAAAAAATGATGAAAATCGAATTTTCTGAGATATAGGTTTAATTGTGCTTCTAGAAAGAAAATAACAGTGGAAAGTTTGTTTCTCTGGAATAACTGCAGCCTCTGCACTCTACTTTTCTAAAATAATAATGATAATTATAGTAGCTGCAGCCTCCATTATGCCCAGCAACACCAATTGGAGTGCAATCTTTGACTCAAATCTTAGGTCTTGACATCTCCGATCCATGGTTGGATATCGGGCCTGCAAGTTTTAAGTTCTTAATTGATTTGGCAATCAAGAGCCACGCAACTTCCATAAAATACTTGGTTTGTGCTTGTTTGGCCAATTTGGTAATTGAATTTAATGAGCTTTTGTTTGGTTGCATCTCAGGAAGAGAATGACATAGAATATGAAGAGGAAGGGGAAGCTGTTGATGTTTTCGATAGTGACTTTGATGAAGATGTAAGTCCAGAGTGTTCCATTTCTCATCACTGACCTTTTCATTACACAGATTATAGTGACTGCTTGGTCAGATGAACTAGCAGCTCTAGTTTGGAAGGGTATGTTTATATGGATAATTCTGTTATTGTGTGACCTCTGCTGAAAATGAGTGACCTATTGTTGGTCTCAGGAACCTGAGCCTGATGAAGAAGGAGAAAATGAACCAGATGACAGGTTTCACACATTCAAGTTGATGGGAAGTGTCCTTTTTGTTTCATATGGACAGTCGTTAGGTTATAACTCTTCTCTTTTCTATGGCAGGACACGGACCAAAAAGCGATTGATTTTTCCAGGAAAACCATCTGCAAGAAAGAAAAAGAAAAAGAAAAACCTTACCAAGTCAGAAAAGGCACCCCAAGAAAATGAAAAAGCTCCAGATCCGTCTACTCCTTCTGAACATCATGATGCTCATGATGATATTGAAGAAGAAAGAACAATTAGGAAATCAACAAGAACAGCTGTCATTGTAAAGCAAGCTGAAAGAGAAGCCATACGTGCAGCCTTGCAGGCGACAATGAAGGTTTGGTGCTTGCAGTACTATGCTATTTGTCATAATAATACTAACTATAATTTTTTACATAGCACACTTTTTTCTTTTTTTGATGAAGTAAGATGTTTTATTAAAAGACATCATGAAGACGCAAAAGGTACAAAAGAGGGATTGTTAGCTCCAACACATCAATTATTTTCTGGATTTAGGACAAGACCCTTTTATTCTTGTATGTTTATTTAGTTTGTAATCCAGTGTCACGTGCTGGTTTTTCTTGATTTCAGAAATCATTACATGGACACTGAAATTAGAGTTTGTTTTTATTTTCTACCACTATTTGGTTTGTACTTCTGATTATGCTTCTGATCCTTCAGCCCATAAAAAGAAAAAAGGAAGGTGAAGAAAAAAAGATGACTCAAGAAGAGATGCTTCTTGAAGCAGCTCAAACAGGTTTGGATACATTTCTTTACTCAATAGAATTACTTTCAGTTTTTATCTGTGCATTTTCCACTAATTATATGTAACCTGTCTTTGGGAAAAACTGCAGAGGTCATGAATCTGAGGAGTTTGGAGCGTGTTTTAGCAAGGGAAGAAGAAGTCAAGAAAAAAGCCATTGTGCATAAAGCAGTTTACACTGGCCCTCAGATACGATACCTATCCAGAGATGGCAAGTACCTTACCATAATTTAGGATCCCTAAAACTTTACTCTCTTCTCTATATAATAAAACATTCATATACTAAGCTGCTTCCACTTGAAATAGTTTTGTTGGATATTTATTTGAAAACTCAGTTGTTTGCTATCGTTCTGAACCATGCATGTTAAGGTTGTCTTGCTCTCTGCAGGTTCTTCCTATCTAGAGTTTGTCAATGGAGCATCTTTCAATTCACAGATTTCAACAACTTCCACTCCATGTAATTACAAGTCTTGATATACTCCATTCCTCTCTAAGTTTACATAGCCCTAGCAATCAGCATCATAGTCTTATGGGATTCCACGTTGCTAATGTATTTTTAGATGTTATTTATCACTATTTACTCCGTTATGATAAAATCTGATTTTCTTAGGTAAATGTTCTGTTACTGCTTGCTGTTAGCTTTCTGGTTACCTAGTTGTTATTATTGTTACCTAAGTGCTTGCCCAAGTGGAATTAATTGTAAGGGTCTAATTGCCCTGTGTTTATGGGATTTATTGAAACATGTAATCCTTCAGAATTCTCCTAGAAAACAATACTGTGGCCACATGAAGTCTCTCTGATTGGTATTAGGAAGATGTGTTTGCTGTATGAAAGCCTTATGAGTAAATGTTATGCTTTTTTCATCTGATAATATAAGTGAAGGGAAAGGAGTCGTTGGTTCAAGTCATAGTTTTTAAAGTAGAAACTTTTCTAGCTCTAACTTCTCTAATGAAAAATTGTTCTTATTTTTCTCTTCACAGTCAAAACCGTATCAACTATGAACTTTGTGAAGTCTTAGTTGTCAGAAAGTTTAAACTAAAAGAAAAATTATGAATGTTTTTTGGTAAGAGATGACAATTTTTGTACATTTCTTTCGAGTTTGAGCACTTATCTTGCTTTTTATCAGTATGAGGTCTGAACAATCAAATACCAAAAGTTTGCAGTGATAGCTAATTACCACTCATCTTAGCAGTTAGGGAACGTCCTAAAACAAACCAAATAGAAGTAAATTTTTATCCTGGGCAAGGTCTTGCATTTGAAAGCAAGGATTAAAAAATGCTTATACTTCTAACTGTGGTGCCGTTATCCTGGATTTATTAGGTGAAGTTCCACCTTATTTGCTCTATTTGCCAATCTTCCTGGACATTAGCTTAGTAGTTTCCCCTCATAAATGGAACTGGTGTTTACATTGGTTATCTTAGACTAGCTTTCTGGCACATAAGTTCACTATTTTTGTTTCTGTTTCGAGTAACTATATGAGCTTCTAAGATTGTTGGTCTTATCATTTTTGCAGTTAAGTTCTTTCACGTGTTTCAACCACTGACAGCTTATGATTATTGACTGGTTTCATCTTTACAGACCCCGAGAAGGCAATTTGTACAGTTACTGGGTTGCCTGCACGGTAACATGCTATTTCCCCATTCTCTTACTGATGTTTATTTTTATTAAGTGTCTGAATTCTAGCAATCATCAGTAAAACTTGTAGTTCTAACCTACTCTTTTGATAAATAAACATGCATTCCATAAAGGGCACACAGCAGGCATGAAGTATCTACAATACAAAAACTCTAAGTTCTCATGTAAGAAGTAGCTAGGAAATTTTGCAAAGCATCTATGTCATGTACATTAAACATGCTTCTCAAAAACACTAAAAAATACTAACATCTGTTTTTGTACTATGTCAAGTTCTTTTTCCCCTCAAACATCTCTGATTCTTTTCCTTACCAAATTACCCAAAAACTGCAAGGCTGGTATGTCTAGTACCAGCTTCCCTGTCATACCTCGCCCATCTATCCCCCCCACCCCCAAACCTTGTCTGCCATACTCCACATATCTAAAAATTCTCTCTGAGGTCATCAAAGCTTCATTCTACGATTGTACTTGGACTGATGCTCCATTCCTCCTCACATCTTAAGGTGGAATGGGTAGTGATACTGAATGATCTCTCCTCTCAATATTATCCATTTGCTCCTCATTTTGATCCATTGTTTGGTTCATATTATGGAGATCACCATGCACTTTTTGAAACTGCAAATGCATCTTATTAATTTTCTGTGCAAGTGTGTGCAGCAAGGCATTAGTATCCTCAATCTCCTCTGTAGTCTTAGCTTCACTTGAATTGTCGTTAACACCTGATTTTGACATCTCAAAAATAATAGAGTGAAAGTACCTTATCAGAAAAAATAGGTTGAAAGTATAATGATCCTCATAATCCTCGTTTTCCGCTCTTGGATGGCATTAAAAATAATCTCATGTACATGTTTCCACTCCATTGGAATCCTCGAAGTTTGTTTCAACTCATTGAAATCACCAACAAGTAACGAATTTCCTGAGGCAATTTCTAGAAAGGAATTGATGCAAACAAAGAAGGACCATTAGCTAACAGACTTGGATCAATGAAATTCAACGAAATAAACGAGATTACACAAAGGAATTGGCACGAATGGTAATTGAATTCAAATATTAAGAACGTTTTAATGCGAACTAGCACTAGGTCATTCTAAACAAGAATATCAAATGTTAACCAACAGCGGAAGATCTCGATCTACCCAACAATAGAAAACTTCAAACTATCCAATACTTAGACATTTTTTTGTGATTTTTACTGATAGTTCTTCTCGAATCTGAGTATGAACAATACTCAAAATAGATTAAAAGATTGACTTTTGGATTAATACATGAACTAAGGAACGGACGTTTATAGGAATAAGCTCGAACCAAAGCTTTGATACCAACCCATTTGGGATGCTCGCAAGCTGAATAATCAAAAAATTGATTCATAAAAATAACAAAAATATAAATTCCCCACGAATTGAAGAACATAAAGAATCTCATACCCTAACTGAACGTCTATGGTAACTAATGATATATGGAATCATTCATCCCAAAGAAGGACAAACAAGAACGAAGTGTATAAAGATTTAAATAAGAAAGAATTACCGTCAAGAATCAAACTTGAAAGTAATTTCGACGTTTAATCCGAATAAAAAAGTTCCCAACCTCACAAAGATGTTGATCAATCTAAAAATATGCCAAACTACTGTCTAATTTGAGTTACAACTATTGATGTAGTTAACACCTACGTCCGGGGAATTTGTTTTGGCCCAAAGTAAAAATCTCTCAATTCGACAGGCAAGCTTGGCGCACTAGACCAATTCTTTAAGCTCAGTTCATCGCACTAAGTTGTATTTTCCAGCCCATTTATCTTCTCATTTCTCAGTGTGACACATCCAACCTCAGTGCTTCCAGCTCGACATACTAAACCATCACGGCGTGCTTCACCATCAAGCAGCTTCATTTTCGGCCTCTTCCAAGCAATGCTCGAGCCTCCAAAACATGGTATGCTTTGCATGAATCTTCAAAACGGCTCTCCAAGCATTTTCTAACCATCTCTAGAAGATCGTGTAGCTCCTTGATATGCAATTCTTGGACGCTCTTGTTCTTAGAACGAGTCAATGGTTATTTTGACTGTTCGGGATCCATAAGGTGCTCCGTGCTATCCAGGATCATATCATTCTATCTTGCTTAGAAAGCTTCTTCTCTCAGTCCAGATGAATATTCCTCCATCTCCTTCAACTTGGAAGCTACCAAGATTTTCTTACCATTTTGGCGATATATATACTAATTTTTGCCCAGTATACTCTAGAAGATATCTTTCTATATGAACTAATATCCCATTTTTTTACCAAAAACATTCGAAGTATACATGTATGCTAGTCTTCAAACTATCTGTTACGGTACTTTAAGTTGCTCAGACACGGGTGTGGGTGTCCGACACGGGTGCAAATCTAGAGGTCAGATCCTTCGAGATGTAAATTCTAAGATTCGGGGATACGGATCCTAGTGCAGATATGGGTGCAAGGATCCAACTAAAAATAATTCAAAAAAATAAAAATATTTCTAAATTATGAGAAATTTTGTGGAATACCTACGTATAGCTTGTAAAGTGTGGATTTCTTTTTTATTCAAGTTGTAGATAAGTAAAAAGATTGATTTCCTAGATAAGATATACCATTTTCTTCAAATTTACCCTAGTTTTGGTTTTGATTTCGGGAATCAAATTGTATCTCGTCTCGAGTTTTTCTGTCTGTTCTGGTGAAAGTACCCTAAATTGTTTGACCAGATCCGGTACGGATCCCATACCCACACCCATACCGGTATCATGTCGACACGGGTGCGGCACTTAAACTGCCGTGTCAGAGCAACTTAGACGGTACTGCTGCAAAGTTTCCATTTAAAAAAATAACTTGTAGTTCTAGCCTGTTCTGGCTTATAGCCTGTTTGGACAAGCTTCTCCAATCCTAGAAACACTTTTTTATTTCAAAGTTTAAGTGTTTGACCAAGCTTTTGGAAGAAAAAAAGTGCTTTTGAGAAGCAGAAAAAAGTAGCTTCTCTCCAAAAACACTTTTTTGAAAAGCACTCTTGAGAAAAATACACTTAGAAGCAGTTTTTAAAAGATTGGCCAAACACTAATTGCTGCTTAGAAGTGCTTTTCAAATTAATTAGCCAAACACAAACTGCCTCTCACCAAAAGCATTTTTGAGAAAAAGCACTTCTCAAAATAAGCTGATTTTTGCAGCTTGGCCAAACGGGCTATTAATTCCTTTTGTTTGTCTCCAAACTGCCATCTCTCCTGTAATGATATAGGCATGAACCGGGTACACCTCCATTTTCGTTCTCTTGAACGTGTTTTATTTTTTCTCAGCTTCCTTGTTTCTTCTTACATTGATTCTCTCTCGTCCTCTCTCTTTCTCTCTCACACACACACATAGAGACACACTGAATCTAATATTAGGGCTCTATACTTTGTTTTCTCGTATAATTTGTCTGTGTTTCTTGAAGCTTCACTTATGTATTGCCTAAAAAGGGCAGAGAGATTACATATGTGTACATGACCCTCCGTGTGTGATGCTGTAGTTGATGTATTGTCATCTCTCTATCGCATATAATAGTCTTAATTTGGATATTAATTGTAGTACTGATTAAGTGTTATTTTCATCATTGATAATGTTCAGGTATCGTGACCCAAAGACTGGGCTTCCTTATGCAACTAAAGAAGCATTTAAGATCATCCGTGAACGGTAAGGATTTATTTCCTTTTACTGAATATTTCATGGTTCTTGTTATGGTTTATTGTGATTGTAATTAGGAGTCAAGTCATTGCAATCTCTTTCTTACTGAGCTTCATTTCAGTAAGAATTAGTTGGGGAAGAAAGTGTAGTTTATTATAAAATGAATACTTTCTTCCCTTTTGATTTTCTTTGATCATGCTTTTGGAGTTGAAACTAAAATAAAAAAAAATACAATTGCTCAAAGTTGTGGCCTATTGGTTAATGAGGTGGATGAAAGTAGAAGGCAAAAGAAAAACAAAAAAAGAAGAGAAAATGGTGGAAAGCCTATGATGCTTGCTGTCCTCCTCAACTTTCCTCTGCCTACGTTGTTGACTTACACATTAATTTCAGATTAAAATATTTATGTAGTTTTCATTGAATCATGATTTTTAAAGAGAAAGGGACTGTATCGATCTACGCAGGACGGCCTTAGAATAATCTATTAGACAATAAGTTCCCTTTACTTATCCTTGTAGTTTTTGCGTGAAACTAGAAGAGGCCACATGAACTTGGGTTCAGGCGTTAAGCTATGAAAAAAAGCTTGTTTGCTCTCACAACTCTTTTCAAAGGTTCAGTTCTTTTAGAAGTACGGGATGCATATTGACCGCCCTTTATAAATTTAGGGTTTATTTCCTTCATGAAATTACTATTTCATCTTACAGGTTTGCTGATGAAAGTAGCAGGGACCGGGAGAAAAAGAATATGGACGAGTTGTCTCAGGCAATTTCTGGGCAAGGATTTACCTCGAGACAAAAGAGGTCAATAGTTCCAACTAGTAGGCAATTGCCATATTCCCGGGTATTTGCTCGTTTCCGTAAGTTTCCTGCTGATGATACCATTTCTGTGGATTCAGAGTAGATGCAATGTACACATTAGTCCTCTTTATTTCTAGTCTAGATCTAGATTTGTAGAGATGCAGAGGTAGCATCTTTTTCTTGATTAGGTTGTAAATTTTGTTGTCTCAGAGTTTTGAATGACCTTTATATGAAATGTAAAGGATCACATGGCGCGTAACCCATCTGAATCTACCTCTATAAACGTAGAGCTTACTCCCTCCATCTCATATTATGTGAAGGTGTTTGATTGTACACGAAGTTTAAGAAAGAAAGACAGATATTTGGAACTTGGGATTTTAAGCATGCATGTCATGACGTTTATATGGCTATAAAATCATGTTATCAAGGGCGGAGTGGATAATTTAGATTTAAATTGTTTCTAAATATAGAAAAATGTCATTCTTTTTTAGATATACTAAAAAAAAAAGTTTGTCACATGAAATTGGACCGAGGGAGTTGATGGTGGAACAGCCCAAACCAAGATCTAGATTAGGCGTAGCCCCCCACTCCCTCTTGGTCATTGGGTTGTCGCCTTCGTGTATTTACTATAGTTTGAGATTTGTTATGACAGTAAATTTACCTAACGAAACGGAGAACTTTGCTCTCGATATGTACTTTAGAAGTTGTTTTGCTTTCGTCGATTATCCTCCTTAGTCCGGAAACAACAACAAATCCGGTATATTCCCACGCAGACCTTATCTCCCTACCTAGTGAGTAAGAGATTGTTTCCAATAAAATTGGAATTGACATGAAGAGTATGGTAAAGTAAGTTCTTTAAAATATATGTAATGGAGGATACAACTCGATAGGGAGACATCAGTCATCTGGAGAAATATAAAACTCAAAAAGCTCCTCGTGGTATACAATATACATGCTAGTCAATTATATATTCCCTCTCATTATAATCGTCACTAAATTTGGTTAAGTTAAATAACGCTAAACAATTAGTACGTAATAAAAACTCAAAACATTTATTGACTATAAATCGTACAAGTTCAGGAGGGATTACTTAATTCTGTTTTTAAATGTTCATAAGTTCGAATATTTTAAGTCATTAGATTAGTCATGATGTTGCTTATTACCGTATATTATATAAAATCATACACTGATTCTGTAGTGACGATGATCGACTTGAGAAATACAAACAAGGAAACTTTTAAAATAGGAAATTTTCCACTTTGCAAGAAATTAATGAAAACGAATTCTAGAAAATCTGTACAAGAAACGGCCAACAAACAAGTAGAGAAGAAAATCTTTAAAAAGGAAGAGAACCCATCATGGTGAAGTATATATCCCTTAGAGAGAGACTTCGATATAAAATAAGAAAAAGAAAGTCTAAAGAGAGGCGGATAAAATGAGAAAACTTAACCCTAAAATGTAAGACTAATATTTATACATGTCCATATAATTCAAATTTCGGGTCGAATTGGATTAAAATTATATCAATCTGAATCCGATCCAAATATTCGAAATCCGTTCAGAAATCCGAAAATCCGAATAGAATAGATCGCTTATAAATATTATAAGCAACCCGTATTCAACTACGCCATGGGTGATGATCAGTCATGATTTCATCCGGTCCAGAGGAAAATGAAATCAACGAAACAAAAAGTCACTAGTTAAGAGAAATGAAAAGAGAGAAAAAGAAAACATAAAAGAAAAAGTACGTACAACCATCTTAATGCACAAAAAGTGGCCTAAAGTCAAATTTAATAAGACGACCTTAAACTTTTTAATTGAATATATTAAAAAGCTAATGTTGCCTTTCTTTCTTTATTTCTTTAGCTTTTTATTTATAAGATGGTAGTCTTAAAAGACATTAAGCCTTTAACTTCATATAAATAATACTATTATTATTATATTAGTAAAAATTAATTCAGGTTAATAAGATACTTGCCATGTGTCATTTTAACTTGCAATAACTTTACAAAACAAAGATACTAGCCATCGTGTATTTACAATACATTACATTGGATATTATTATAAAAAATATTATTTACTAATACGAAGACTTAGAGCTTGATTCACAATTCTAAATGTTTCTATTCTGAGAAGAAGACAATCTTTCTTCCTCTCTTTCTTTTTTATAAGAGTTTCATATTTGTTTTACAAATTTTAATATTATCTAAGAGAAAAAAATAAATTAAAAATTTTGTAATGCCATCTACACATGACCGACGGTCGGGAAAACCAAACTGCTGAAGTTGAACCTTCTAATGGCCATTATATATGATTCAAGGCAAAATATTCAGTGCAACTTTAATTTTGCTTAGCCCCTATAATCATTTAGTGTTTATCATGCATATATGAGATAATTATGTTCTTGTGGAGCTGTTTACACTAGATTAATTTATTTCTTCTTGCAGTTGAGTCCTGAAGCCCTTAACAACCTTTTAGTTTATCATTATTTTTTTGGTATAATTAGTCTCTATGTACGTGCGTTGCACGTGTATTTCATACTATTTTTTATAAAATATAGATAATAAAAATATTATATACATATATATTTGAATAATATTTGATTTAGTTATAAGTTACAATTTAAATATAACAAAAGCTAATATTTTTGTATAATCTTAAGACTTTTTATGAAGAAAGTCAATAGGCATACTCTCTAACAAACTCAATCTCCATTCTTTTAGCCATCACACTATCAATTAAACTTTAGTATATCTTCCTTTTGAAATTTGATTGCTCTGACGTTGTTGGAAGAAGCATTTATTGATCAACTTTATCTTCTCTATATCCTTCAACCATAGCGCTTTCAATTGCGTCTTGAAATAATTGTCGTTTTTAAGATTGATTGCTCTTTTCTGGAATACTCAAATATCTCCTTTTCTATTTTAATGTGCATGTCATACACAATCTCCAGCTTTATCATATATAGTGTTAGAGTTCAAATCTAATAAGTGATATTAAATTGCCAGACATTTTATCTAGCTAATAAAAATTAGGTAATCAAGTAAGATAAAAATAAGAAAAAATATTCGATTTCTTATTTTCCTGTAAAATATTAGAGATTGATGTCTCTATGATGATCTGATAGGTCACTTTGAATTTTGGCCTTCATTTCTGAGTTTTGAGACCTCGAATAACTCCATTTAGTATTTCTCGAATTGCGTGCACAGTCTGACTCTTTGAAAAGACTTGAGTTGACCACGATTAATATTTTATGTAAACGGATCCGAATCCGTATTTTAAAAATCCTGGTGGACCCATATCGTGATTTGAGACTTGGGCGTATGCCCCAAATTTAATTCAGAAGTTCCTAACCTGTTTTAACTCATTTTGCCAAAAACTAGCTTGTGTGTTCTGTATTCATTATTGTTATTGTGTTGATTTTCAGTGTTGTTACATGAAATTGCGAGCACAATTTTAAAAGGCATTTTTGGGGCGAGCCCCGGGGCGAGGCGTACTAAAAATGCCTCGGGGCAATGGTATGGGGAGAAAGTCTCAAGAGGCGTACGCCCCGCAATTTGGGGCGTACGCCCGGGCGTTCGAGGCACGTTCTTTTAGTAAGGAGTAAGCCCCATAGACTTTTTCAAATTAAAATAAAATTTGTTGAACTAGTCATTCATATAATACCCAAATTCTCAAAAGTTAGTTTGGTAATTACTCAAAAGGTTTAAAAAGGAACTCAAATGTATTAAATTTAAAAGCAAAGACCTTTTTATTGATTTAAGCCCTAATTCATGGTTTTTTCAATTTGTTATCTTGTCCGTTAGTCTGCTAATATCTCCCAAAAGCAACGAATATTTAATTATTTTTTACAAATACAAAGAGAGCTACATTCTTCTTCATAGCAGCAAATTCAAAGTTCAAATTGCAGGTTAATCATCATTTTTGTTCCTCCATATAGAAAATTTTATTCTTTTAGACTCAAATTATTTGTGCTTGTAAGTAACGTATAATAGATTGTTTTGATTAGTTTTTTGTGTGGATGGAGCACACATATATATAGTTTTCTTCAATTTTTATGCAATTTTACCTGTTTATAAATATTTACTGTCATTATATTATATTATAAAATATTAAAAATTAAATACCTATGGGGCCCCGCTGAGGCTTATGTAAAACGCCTCGCCTTACGTCTTTTAAAACACTGATTGCGAGATCGGTTATTCTGGATTCTTTGATTACAAGAATTGAGTTCTTTTTCATAAGTCAACTGCCTTTCTTTTCCCGTTTTCCTTTCTTGTTATTATTATTTTTATACTACATACAGGTTATTGTAAATGATCCACCTTATCTTCGCCACTACTTCGTCGAGATTAGGCTCGGCACTTACAGATTACAAGAGGTCGGTTGTGCTCATACTACACTCTGCACTTCTTGTGAAGATCTTGGAGTCGGTCCTAGCGGCAATCAGTAGATTGCTTGGATCTGGTGCTTGATGGAGACTTGAGGTACAGCAGCACGACATTCTGTCACGACCCAAATTTTCCCTCCGTATGACGTCGTGACGACACCTAATCTCTACGACTAGGTAAACCTAATATTTGCGGAATAATGAAAAGAAAACATAAATCTAACAACTAACTGGAGCAGTAACAACATAACTGGGTACCATGCCGCCTGGCATGTACAATAACCAACTATTCAAAAATATACAGAAATCCCAAAACTCGGAACATCATAAGTCACAAGCTACAGAAGGAAACTAGTATCTCTATACACCAGAATCTAATAACAGAGGTAAGGAAGGGTAATGACATATGAGGGAATAGAGGGGGACTCTGAGGTCTGCGGACGCGGCAGATATACCTTGAAGTCTCCGTACAACAACAAGCACTCTCTGCTAGTAGCGGGGCTGATAAGAAGTACCTAGATCTGCACACAAAACATGTGCAGAAGAGTAGCATGAGTACACCACAACGGTACCCAGTAAGTGCCAAGCCTAACCTCGGTCGAGTAGTGACAAGATCAAGTCAAAGCCCTACTGGTATATAAATAATAAACTACGACAAAAAGAAATATTATAGAAAAATAAGTGCTGCAATTTAACAAAGAATGAATTCATAGAAGACAACAGCTCAGTACACAGAGATCACAACATGGAATCTCCCGAGATACCGTCTCGTAATTTCAAATGTAAAAGTGTAGGGGGATCTCCCGGAATACCGTTCCGTAGTCCCAAAGTAAATATCCAATACATGGGGATCTCCCGGAATACCGTTCCGTAGTCCCAAAATAAATATGCAGTATATGGGGATCTCCCGAAATACTGTTCCGTAGTCCCAAAGTAAATATACACTGCAGGGGGCTCTCCCGGAATACCATTCCGTAGTCCCAAAGTAAAT